GCGCCTGTAGTCCCAGCTACCTGGGAGGCTGAGGCAGGAGAATTGCTTGAACCTGGGAGGTGGCAGTGAGCCAAGATCACACCACTGCACTCCAGCCTGGGGGACAGAGCGAGACTGTCTCAAAAAACAAAACAAAACAAAAAAAGTGGAACCATTCTGGCTGAAAGAGGAGAGTCGCTATAGACTCCCTTACCCTCTAGTGGCTCCTAAGGGACCTTCCCTTAGCCCTTTCTCAATGTTTTAGAAACTACTGCCTTAAGAAGTTTATGGAAAGGACCCCTGGGGCTGAGAGAGGGTAGGGAACTTCTTTGACAAAGTGTAAGTGGTTAGGCTTTAAAAATGCAGCAGATTCAGAAAGAGGTAGGAGGGAGGCTTGGAACAGGTTCCTTCTCATTCCCTGTGACCCCTCTGCTTACCCTCTCCAGCAATTCTGGACATGTACACACTGATGAGCAACAAGCAATACTATGATGCCCTCTGCAGCGGAGAAATCTGCAATACCGAAGGCATTAGTAGTGAGTGTGTTTGGGGAGCATGGTCTCCAGGGCTCTGGGCAGGCAGTCCTAGTGTCTGGGAGAAGGTAGAAAAGGGTGAAACTGATGATTCCGGGAGAGAACATGCTGCATGAGTGATAAGAAAACCTGTGGAGTGCCAGGCGTGGTGGCTCATGCCTGTAATCCCAGCATTTAGGGAGGCTGAGGAGGGTGGATCACTTGAGGTCAGGAGTTCGAGACCAGCCTGGCCAACATGGTGTCTCTACTAAAAATACAAAAATTAGCCGGGTGCACTCCTGTAATCCCAGCTATTATACTTGGGAAGCTGAGGCACAAGAATTGCTTGAACCCGGGAGGTCAAGGCTGCTGTGAACTGAGATTGTGCCACTGCATTCCAGCCTAGGTGGATAGAGCGAAAAAACCAATGGGGAGGAGATTGTGGGGAACATGTTGGGTTCCCTTCCTGCCCTCACTCACCAGGTGTGGTACAGCCTGACAAGTATAAGCCAGTGCCGGATGAACCCCCAAATCCCACAAACATTGAGGAGATACTAAAGAGGGTCCGAAGCAATGACAAAGAGCTGGAGGAGGTGAACCTGAATAATATACAGGTATTTGACTTGCATCCTCCAAACCGTAACTCTGGATAACCACTGACATCCAAGAGTCCCTTAGCCCACCATCTCCTATTCTCCTCTGGTAGGACATCCCAATACCCATGCTAAGTGAGCTGTGTGAGGCAATGAAAGCAAATACCTATGTGCGGAGCTTCAGTCTGGTAGCCACGAGGAGTGGTGACCCCATCGCCAATGTAAGGCTAGTCGACATCCCCAGCCCTCTTCCACATCTTACATGCACCCCTTGCATGGCTGTCATAAAGGGTTTTGCTAGGGAGTGCTATTCTCATCATGCCTTCTTAGGGCAGCCCTCATGGAGACTCCTACCTTCAGTGCCATGGTTCCTAACTCTCAACCCTCTCTAACACACCCAGTCCTACTGCACATTCATCTCCCTGCTTTCCCCTGCTATCCACCCTGCTTTCTGTATCCCTCTAGCTCCATTTATAGCTCCTCAAGGACTCTTCTCAAAGAGCTGTGTTTCCCTCTTGCTCCTGTTCTTTCTTTCCTCAGTCATCTGTGAAACTGTTCCCTAATCCTAACCCAAGTCCCTACTACCCAGGCAGTGGCTGATATGTTGCGTGAGAATCGTAGCCTCCAGAGCCTAAACATCGAATCCAACTTCATTAGCAGCACAGGACTCATGGCTGTGCTGAAGGCAGTTCGGGAAAATGCCACACTCACTGAGCTCCGTGTAGACAATCAGGTCAGCCTTCCCTTCCCCTGATGTTAGCATTCAGTCTCATTGAGTCTCCTCCCTGAGCCAGCCACTGGGGCAGCTATCTTATTTAATCTTGTTTGAATTCTCCTCTTCATTATCTCTATGAGGGAAGCCAAGTCAGCATCTCTCTTCAACCACTGTGGAGAAACAAGCTTCTTTGACCTCCCAAAGGGATCTGTGGTCTGGGATGGTAAACAGCCCAGAGAGGGTGACTGTCAGCTTTTGCCTCTCCCTCCCCCAGCGCCAGTGGCCTGGTGATGCAGTGGAGATGGAGATGGCCACCGTGCTAGAGCAGTGTCCGTCTATTGTCCGCTTTGGCTACCACTTCACGCAGCAGGGGCCGCGAGCTCGGGCAGCCCAGGCCATGACCCGAAACAATGAACTACGTGAGTAACTGCAGACATGATGTGTGGAGTGGGCAGGGAAGTGCAGAAATTGGTGGATCCTCCTGAAAGCAGACCTAATGACTAATAGCCCAGCGTGCTACCAAAGAGCTATTCACATGAGAAGTTCAAATCCCAAGAGTGATCAGAAAGAAGACAGAAAACTCCCCCTGCCCCAAATATGGACGAGTAGAGAGGTAGAAAGGATACTAGAGATAACAATACTTGTTTAGAGGTATTGTAATTTTATTTGTGGTGTGGTTTCTTGTTTTGTTTTGTTAATGTGGGATGGGCCTGTAAGGTGGCCTAAGACACTACCAATTTATGAGTTTGGCTAAGGGACTGGAAAGGAGAAGAGTGCCTTTGCAGAAAGCAGTAGCTGGAACAAACACTTATGTTTAATATTCCTCCTTTACAGGTCGCCGGCAAAAGAAGAGATAATACTGCATTTCCCTTTACCAACTAGAGCTGGGAGCACTAGACACTTAAATTCTCATCTGTTCTCCTTTCCTGTAAATAAAAGCCCTTATATCCATTTTGCCTGCCTCCTTCCTTGGACTTTGGGGTGAGAATCTTGGCGCTAACCCCCAAGGGTTACTGCCAGTTCACCAGAGGATTATTTATACTCTGGGGATCAGCAGGCAGAGAGGTTCAGGTTACTAGGAGGAGGTGGGGGAGCTCCCTCCCTTGGTGTTCCCCATAACCCTGCCAACGCCTTTCAACTCTTCTACTTTCACAGGGAACTTAGCTGCAGCCCTGTTTCCAGATGTAGCCAGGTCCCTCCAGTGCCTACCCACAGTCCTCATGTGGTTTGAAGGGGGAAAGGACTTTGAGTGGTAGTGGAGAAGGAGGCAGACAACATGAAGGGCAAAGACCTCTTTTTGACAGTCTTATTAATAGGGCACCAGGCTGATGCAGCTGACGCTTGGCATGGCTTTGGTAGAAGGTGGGGGAGGGGCTAGAAGTATGGAGCGCTGTGGCTGGGCGCGGTGGCTGACGCCTGTAATCCCAGCACTTTGGGAGGCCGAGGCGGGCGGATCACAAGGTCAGGAGATCGAGACCAACCTGGCTAACACAGTGAAACCCCGTCTGTACTAAAAATACAAAAAATTAGCCGGGCGTGGTGGTGCGCACCTGTAGTCCCAGCTACTCGGGGGGCTAAGACAGGAGAATGGCGTGAACCTGGGAGGCGGAGCTTGCAGTGAGCCAAGATCGGGCCACTGCACTCCAGCCTGGGCGACAGAGCAAGACTCTGCCTCAAAAAAAAAAAAAAAAGAGTATGGAGAGCTGTGTACATTGCAGGAAAGGAGTAGTTGGATTGAGAATGAACAGATCTGAAATCCTGAGATCTGACAAGGAACCAGACTTAAGGAAAGTTAAGTTCTCAGCACCCATTGCAGTGTATTTGTGAATGAATGGGAAAAGGGTGTCAGTCCAAGGGGAGATCAGGTGGTTCCTCCTCATCAGAGTCAAACTCAACATTTTCATCTTTTACCCATCGACCTCGTCCATCTGGGATCCATCCTGAGCTGGAAACATCAGAGAAAATAGCATCGATTAGGAAAGAGGCTTATTAAGAAGTTAGTGGTGAGCTCACACCTGTAATCCCAGCACTTTGGGAGGCCAAGGTTGGTGGATCACTTGAGGTCAGGAGTTCAAGACCAGCATGACCAACATGGTGAAACCCTGTCTCTACCAAAAAAAAAAGTCAGTGGTGAGAAAAAATTGAGAGCCATGTAAGTTGGGTGGATAAAACAAAACGAAACCAAAGATAAAAAACAACAATAGGAGGCCGGGTATGGTGGCTCACGCCTGTAATCCTAGCACTTTGGGAGGCCAAGGCAGGTGGATCACCTGAGGTCGGGAGTTCAAGATCAGCCTGATCAACTCGGAGAAACCCCGTCTCTACTAAAAATACAAAATTAGCTGGGCATGCCTATAATCCCAGCTACTCGGGAGGCTGAGGCAAGAGAATCGCTTGAACCCCGGAGGCGGAGGTTGTGGTGAGCCAAGATTGTGTCATTGCACTCCAGCCTAGGGAACACACAAAACTCTGCCTCAAAAAAAAAAAAAAAAAATGGGGGGCGGGCACAGTGGCTCACGCCTGTAATCCCAGCACTTTGGGAGGCCGAGGGGTGGATCACAAGGTCAGGAGATTGAGACCATCCTCACCAACGTAGTGAAACCCCGCCTCTACTAAAATACAAAAAATAAGCCAGGCATGGTGGCACATGCTTGTAATCCCAGCTACTCGAGAGGTTGAGGCAGGGGAATCGCTTGAACCTGGGAGGCGGAGGTTGCAGTGAGCTGAGATGAGATCACACCACTGCACTCCAGCCTGGTGACAGAGCGAGACTCCGTCTCAAAAAAAAAAAAAAAAAAAAGCTTTGAAACAAGAAGGGTCAGAGAGAAAAGAAAATCTGAGGAAACTGATTAGGCACACTCACCTTCGAAGGGTGAGATAATGGTCCAGGGCTCGTCTTCTTGTGGGGCTCATGGGTGCAGGGGCTGAGACAGTTGCTGACTCCTCGGCCTGTGGGCCAGCCCCAGGTTCAGGTTCCCTACTGATCTTCCCGCTTTGGAGTTCGACCTCTGAGGGTGGCACAGGGGAAAGGGAGACAGAGGGACCAGGGGCTTCTGGTCTAGGTAGAGAAGAATAGTCTGTAAAAGCAGTAAGGGAAAGAGCCAACTCTCCTATGACTCCCAACCTCTTAAAACAGTGTTTCTTAAACTATATTTTTCAAGATATTAATAAGTTCTGCATACAAAGGATTTTAGAATCATGAATTTGGGAAAGGCTAGCTTTAAATTTTACAAGTTTTTTTTTTAATTCTTAAGACTTTGTATAGCTTTTAAAACTGTTACTCTTTTTTTTTTTTTTTTGAGACGGAGTCTTGCTCTGTCACCCAGGCTGGGGTGCAGTGGCCAGATCTCAGCTCACTGCAAACTCCGCCTCCCGGGTTTACGCCATTCTCCTGCCTCAGCCTCCCGAGTAGCTGGGACTACAGGCGCCCACCACCTCGCCTGGCTAGTTTTTTTGTATTTTTTAGTAGAGACGGGGTTTCACCGTGTTAGCCAGGATGGTCTCGATCTCCTGACCTCGTGATCCGCCCGTCTCGGCCTCCCAAAGTGCTGGGATTACAGGCTTGAGCCACCGCGCCCGGCCACACACAGCTAATTTTTTATATTTTTGGTAGAGACGGGGTTTCACCATGTTGGCCAGGCTGGTCTTGAACTCCTGATCTCAAGTGATCCACCCGCCTAAGCCTCCAAAAGTGCTGGGATTACCGGTGTGAGCCACTGTGCCCGGCCAAAATTCCTTTTCTTGAAACACTAAGTAACATCTCCAGAACGCTAGTATTCCTCAGAATACAGACTGGAAAACACTTTTAGAGCCCTCTGTCTCCTTCTGAGCCTTCCTGCCTCTGGCTTTCCCCTCCCATACCTGTACTTCCGGCGGCAGCAACTGTTATAGTGGGGAGCTCTGTGCAGAGCACTCTGGGTGATAAGTCGTGTCTGGGTTAGCAGAGGAGCCTGGTAAGAAGATGGGAGACAGAGTCAGAGCCTTCAGCCCTCTGCCCTTCCAGCCTGGTGTGTGCAGCAGTGTCTTGCCTAGAACACACTCTCCACTCTCTGATTACCTCAGCTTTGGTTTCTTCCCTCCTCAATTCATTCTGATGTCTTGGATTCTGCTTCCTTTCCTTTCCCGGCTGCTTCTTGCCATAGAAAAGCTGCAAGCCTGAAGAGAAAGGGAAACAGAATTAAAAGCATAGCACCAAGACTGGTGTGCAGAGATTTAGATTTATTCCCCATCCCCTGTCTTCTCCCGAACTTACTGGACAGATGTTTCTTGCCTGCACGGTGGGCAGTCAGCATGGCCAGGGTGTCCAGTACCGGTCGATGGGGGCAGATGGCACAAGCAAAGCTGAGCAGGGGTAGAGAAGAGGATAACTGGTCTAGGGGAAGAGGGTTGGGCCTGTCCCTGCCGTAAGTCCCACCCTGTCCTAGCAGTCTTTGCAAAACCCAACTCCCTGGTGACCCAATCTCCACTTCTTCCAGTCCTCACTAGCCGCCAAAGAATCCTAGATACTTCTGCTGTCCTAATTAATAACAAAAGTTTGTTGAAGCCGGGCGTGGTGGCGTGCGCCTGTAATCCCAGCTAATCGCGACGCTGAGGAGGCAGGATCACTTGAGCCCTAGAGTTCAAGGACAGCCTGGGCAACACAGCTATTGAGCCTCTAACCGCAAAACCCTCAGGCTTGAGCCACTCCTCGCTCTTACCGTCCATCCCGAAGCATCAGCGCCTCATCCTCTGGGATGTAACTGGCGAGGAGGTCCCCGACTCTTCTTTTCTGCAGGGAGTAGGGGAAGAAATCCGGATGGATCAGCAGGGTAGGAGAGAGGGATGGAAGTCAAATGACAGAAATGAGGAGTCAAACGGAATAAGGACATAAGGACCCTGGGGAGAACAGTGATCATAGACCGAAAAAGGAGTCACTACACAGCTCTAAGTCGCCTGGTTCTCTCCTGCACCCCCGAGTTGTTGCCAGAGCAATGAAACAAAGCTCCTTCCCAACCTTCAGAGAGCGACTGAAGAGGCTGCAGATCCTCTCCGCTCACGCTTACTTTGAGCACATTGAGTTGACTCCAATCGTCTCCTTCCCTCTTGAAAGACATCACGACTGTGAGTCCCAGAAGTGATAAATTTTCTTGTTCCGGTTTCGCCACTCCTCTAGGCCACCGTAGCAAGAGCGGGACCGCGCCTTCTCTTTTTTCTTTGTCTTCCTGTCGGCCCCCGTACTTCCGGGGATGCACTTCCACGCATGCATTGCGCCATCCGGATATCCACTCTCTGGCGCGTGGAGGGAACTGCATTTCCTATGGTGCCGTGCGACTCCGCAGACGCGAAGCCTTTTGGGAAATGAAGTCTTTTCCTCAAAGACCTTGCCGCTCAGCTGGATCCAGGCCCTTGCATCTTGGTGGATCTGAGGCGTTTAGAGGGACAAGAACCTAGATGTGGAGCCGAAATTTGAGGGTGTGACCTATCTGATGCGGAGCGGACCTTTGAGGATCTCTGAGTGGAAGGTGTACTACAAATTCTCGCAATCCTCACGCTCTTCGTCTGCGGCGACAGTTCACCTGGGGTGGGCCTGATTTGTTCCTGGCTCTAGCAAACAAACCCCGGGACCGGGCAGAGCTGGGATGTGGGAGCGCCCTGAGGCCAGGCTACTTGGGGGCAAACTGAGGAAAGAGTGTTGAGGATTATTTCTAGAGTTCAAAGGTCAGAGGTCAATGTAGCGAGGAGTTGTGGGGGAGTTCAAAGTCGGAGGGGTGCTTAGGGGCGAATCAGGGAGGGACTGAATACTCAAGGGACAGATTTGTGGATAAGGACTTGGAGGGAGGAGAAACCGGGAGGGGGCAGGTGGCGTAGTGCTGCGGAGGCGGGGACACAGGGAAAGAGAGAAGGGGAAAGGAATCCCCTGAATATCTATTCCCAGACTTCAGGCCTGTCACTCGCAGTCTCGGTCGGGCCTCCCCTAGTTGCAACCTAGCTGTCGGCAGGGTGAAGAGATGGCTTCCCCGTCTAGACAGCCCCCGCCAGGGGGGTCAGGACTGCTTCACGGGAGCCGGGCTCGTTCATATGGAAGCCTGGTGCAATCGGCCTGCTCCCCAGTGAGGGAAAGACGCCTGGAGCATCAGTTGGAGCCCGGAGACACCCTGGCTGGACTAGCACTCAAATATGGGGTGACGGTGAGTTTTCCAGGATTGGGGTGCAGACAACAGTCAGGAGGGATTTAGTCCTGAGAAGAATGTAGTGGACCTTCTAGGTAACCTCCCCTGAAATGTTCCTAATGTGTTGAACTCTGTTCTGCCTTTATCTTTGTTTTCCCATCACAGTGTTGCACTGCGTGGTTGGGACAAGTTCTGCTCTACTATTCCAATGGAGAGGAACAGCTCCTATTTTATCATGCCAGACACTGTGCTAGGGGCTTCACATACGTTAGCTCATTTCACCCTCACGTCCGTATCAAGTATACATTTATTGTTCCCTTTTGGCAGATGAAGAAACTGAGACTTGGATTGGTTAACCATTTTGACTAAGGTCAAATAATGAGTGTCAGATATGGGATTCAAACAGGTCTGTCTGACTCTGTAAACCACACAGAAAATTTTACATTGAGAGTGATTAAACGTTTACAGCAAATAATGGAGAGCTTATTTTTAGTTCTCAGTTCCTAAAGTGCCTACCTCTCCTTGCTCTTGGTTCCTCCTCAGTGCTCTGCCTTCTTTCTAGTAAGGCGGCTTCCCTGGCACAAAACAGGTACTCTACACCAAGTATTTCAGGTTATGCATGGGGGAAATTGGATAGATGTAAAAATGTATAGCATTGAAGTTGATGAGGTTACTCCCCCTACCCCCACCCCTGTTTTCTTGTTCCATCTCACTCAAGCAAATGTTGAATTTAGCCAACATTTTTATGCTTTAGCCAACATTTAAAGCACTGTGATAACTTTTCTGGGAGACAGAAACTTAAACTATATGGTTGCTGTCCTCATGTAATTTATGGCCTAATGAGAAATGAACAGGTACACAAATAATGATTACAAGTGACAGAACGTGGTGAATTTGTAAAGGTATTAACAAAGAATCAGGGCCAGGCATGGTGGCTCACCCCTGTAATCCTAGCATTTTGGGAGGCTGAGGCAAATGGATCACCTAAGGTTATGAGTACGAGACCAGTCTGGCTAACATGGCAAAACACTGTCTCAACTAAAAATACAAAAATTAGCCGGGCGTGGTGGTGCTCGCCTGAAATCCCAGCTACTCAGGAGGCTGAGGCAGAAGAATTGCTTGAACCTGGGAGGTGAAGGTTGTGATGAGCTGAGATCGCACCACTGCACTCCAGCACTCCAGCCTGGGCAACAGAGCGAGACTCTGTCTCAAAATAAAAAAACGGATAGGAAATCAGAAAGATTAAATTTTAGTTGGAAAGGGGCTGGGGTGGGCCAGGCGTGGTGGCTCATGCCTGTGCTGTAATCCCGGCACTTTGGGAGGCTGAGGCGGGTGGATTGCTTGAGCTCAGGAGTATAGGACCAGCCTGGGCAATGTGGTGAAACCCCATCTCTACAACAAATACAAAAATTAGCTGGATGTGATGGCATGTGCCTGTAATCCCAACTACTGGGGAGGCTGAGGCAGAGGATCACTTGAGCCCGGGAGGCGGAGGTTGCAGTGAACTGAGATTGTGCCATTACACTCCAGGCTGGGCAACAGAGTGACACCTTGTCTCCAAAAAAAAAAAAAAGAAGAAAAAAAATACTAATATACTATATCTGTAGTTTCTATATTTCATTATCTAATTATTATAATAATTAGATAATTATAATTAATAATTTTTAAATAAAGCATTAATGGGCCCCTGCTATGTGTCAAAGTCTGTAGGATGCTAACGACTGCCTGGGGATACAGAGACAGCAAGTCACAATCCTTGCCCTTAAAGGACTCATAGGGTTTAGGCAAAGCAAATATTTAAAGAGGTGAATAATATTATAGTAGGGTTGTGTATGATTATAGCAATATTTACAGTATGCATTAGGAGTCCTGAAGAAGGTAACACAAAGGGAGTGGTGGTTGATGAATAGAAGTTTTCCAAGCAGAGAATGGGATCGTAGAGGGGCAGGAGCATTTCAGGCAGAAGTAACAGCATGAATAAAGTGTGAAAAAGATCATGGAATGTTCAAAGAAAAATAAAAAGTTCAGGATAGCAAAATGTAGAGGTGGCAAAGGGAGATTAATCTAGACATTTCCTTTGGGAGCTGGATTGAGAAAGCCCTTGAATGCTAATTTGGTTTTTATCTTTAGCCAATGAGGAGTCCATAGGAGGTTTATAAGCAGGGTAGTGGGTTAATCAGATTTATTTTTTTAGAAAGATAGATGCCAAGAGGAGGATGAGTAGAAATAGAGTGAGGAAGGCCAGTTAAACTTTTGCAATAACCCCAGATGAGAAATACTTTGGGTCTATTTTAAATCTTTGGCAATAGGCCTGAAGATGAGACCAGATGTGAGAGAGATTTTTGAAGCAGTTTTGTTGACCACTTGGTATGGTGATGAAAGGCAAGTATTAGTTAAGGATGACATTGATGTTTTTACCTTGGAAGGCCAGGCAAATAGATGGTGATGCCAGTCACTAGGTCCAGTGATGAATAGATAGGTCAAAATAAATATTTATTACTGACATTGTTAATAGTATAGTGTGAAAACCTTTCCCAGAAGCAGTGAAAAGACCCAGGATTGTCGTTCTAGCTGTGTCATTAACTTGATAGATAGTTTCAGGCAAGTAGCTTAACCTCTCTGAGCCTCAGTTCCTTCATTTTTATTTGTTTATTCATTTATTTTTATTTTATTTTTTTATTTTTAGAAATGGGGTCTCACTATATTGCTCAGGCTGGACTCTCATTCCTGGGCTCAAGCTGTCCTCCCGCCTCAGCCTCCTGAGTAGCTGGAATTACAGGCATCAGACATTGCGCCCAGCTTGCACAATAAGTTTTTAAAATGTAAGGGGGCCCTAAGACCAAAAAGTGTGAAAACCACTCATCTATAAAGTAGAAATAATGTCAGCCCTTTGTACTTTAGCTTGGTTGTTATGGAATCAAAGAAGACTCTGTGCAGTCACTTTAAAAAGCTCGAGATGCAATGTAAGATTGATCATTATTACTGTCCTTAATTTTGTTGACTCTTTTTTTTTTTTTTTAAGATGGAACAGATTAAACGTGCAAACCGCCTTTATACTAATGACTCCATTTTCCTGAAGAAAACCCTCTACATCCCCATCCTGACAGAGCCCAGAGACCTGTTCAATGGTTTGGATTCTGAGGAAGAAAAAGATGGAGAGGAAGAAGTACACCCAAGTAACGATGAAGTTTGGCCACACTCAACTGAGAGGAAGAAACAAGAGACAGGAGCAGGACGTGCCAATGGTGAAGTCTTCCCCACACCTGGCCAGGAAACCCCCACGCCCATCCATGACCTCTCTGCCTCTGATTTCCTTAAGAAGCTTGATTCACAGATCAGCCTGTCCAAGAAGGCTGCTGCCCAGAAGCTGAAAAAAGGGGAAAGTGGGTGAGTGTTGAATGGTTCCTTATAAGTTCCTCCCTAGACTCCTCCATTCTTCCTATCTTACCTAACCACAAACACAAGTAAGTAAGCACAGTGCCAACAGAGGCAAGGTGATACCTTTCCCCCATGTGGCCCCAAAGCAATGAGCAGAGACGATGCCTGCTGACACAGGTAGAGGCAGTGGAAAACTGGGTTCTGTGTTCTTATTGGAGTCAGACAGTTGACTTTTTTTGAGACGGGGTCTCGCTGTGTTGCCCAGGCTAAAATGCAGTGGTGGAAGCTCCGCCTCCCGGGTTCACGCCATTCTCCTGCCTCAGCCTCCCAAGTAGCTGGGACTAAAGGCACCCACCACCACGCCTGGCTGATTTTTTGTATTTTTAGTAGAGACGGGGTTTCATTGTGTTAGCCAGGATGATCTCGAACTCCTGACCTCATGATCTGCCCGCCTCAGCCTCGCAAAGTGCTGAGATTACAGGCGTGAGCCACCATGCCCAGCCGACAGTTAACTGTTTTTACTGCTCTGGTCATCCATGAAGGAGCATTAGGGTTAGGATTTATCTAGAAGGTATTGAGACTGTCTTGAAGCAACCAGCTTATGTATTAGAAGACAGCTTTCCATGTACCTCTCACTTAGCCCATTGTGAGGTTCTTCCCTTGATCTGTCACTCTTTCCCCCCTTTCCTCACTTGCAGGGTACCTGGGGAGGATGCAGGTCTCCACCTGAGCTCCCCTCGGATGCAGCAACGAGCAGTCCTAGGTCCCGTGCCGCTGACCCGTACCTCTCGGACCCGGACACTACGGGACCAGGAGGATGAAATCTTCAAACTCTGATGTCCCCAGAACTGACTGAGAGAAGCAAGATGTTGAAGGAGAAACTTCAGGGGGAGAGGAGCCTGAGGTGAGGCTCAAGAACATGGCTTACCAGCCTGCCTCCCTCCACTCCAGCCATCTTCCCCAGCCTCCTTGTCCGCCAAAAATTCCTTGGCCTGGGGCAGTTTTATTGGCAAGATTAGGGAATGGGAACTGGACCTTTCCCAGTTCTTGGGCTGAATCTAGAGTTGAGTCCTTTAGACTCAAAAGGCTCTTTTTATATCCTTGTTGCCTTTCCTATCCTTTTTACCATTCCCTGGCCTTAGAACAGAGAAGCAGAGACTCCCCTCAGCTTCTTCCTCATCTCCAACTGTGTGACATAATTTATTTGGTGCTAATATTGAAGTAATATTTATTTGCTATATTTTATTCCTTCCCAGTCTTAGCTAAAAAATGGAATTTCTGTAGCCCTGGGGTGAGAGAACCCGGGAACAGTGAGCCAATGAGTGCTGGTTCTCCACCTTCCCCACCTTGTTGGCCAGACATGTGATTGAGGATGAGGCAATCGGTGACCTAGCCTACCGCAGAGAATGGATGACTGCTGGCCTTTTCTCCAATCTTAAAGGGACAGATTTGAACTGAGTTTTTTTTTTTTTTTGGTACCCCATTCCTGTTGAATGGGCTCAGTCTTGACTAACCAATTCCCTGTAACTTTTTCACAATTCTTGACCCTGAGAAAAAGCAGCACTGTAGGGACCTGAACCCTCCATTCTACCAGTTCACCCTTCTGACATGTTCTGCTCAGCCTGTGATGAGGGGAACAGATGGAAGGAGGCTTTCCTTGGGGTTTGAAGAGGAAGCCAGTTGTGAGAGTCTCTTTGTTACGCCCCGTACCCTCTAGACCCTCTCTCTCTATGCCCTCCTCCTCACTGCATATTTATTTGCAATTTGTAGCACTGATCTATGGTACAGTTTTGTTTGTTTCTCAAACGGAAGTAGGTAAGGGAACCTCAATAATAATGGAAATCTCCCTCAGTCTCCTGTTTGGAAATGATGAAAGGTGAGAGAAGTGGTGTTTATATACCTCCTTTCTTCTGTGATGACTATAAGGTATATGAAGCTGGACAGATTAAACATTGAGCCCTGTGCATATTCTAGTAGTTTTATTTCCCCTATGAGAATCTCCCCTGCCCTAGCCCCTTCCTCCTGCACTCTGGAACAGAGCCTCTGGCATCTGTCCAAGCTCTGTTTCTAAGGGCCACCTTCCCCTCTTCTGTCTTTAGTGTCCCCAGAGGGGTTCTCTGGGCTGTGCCTCCTTTCCTTGGTTCACATGGGAGGGGGCTTCCCTGTTTCAGAAGTCCCTTATGGGAGAAATAGAGATCCAAGTTTCACTTCACCTTTTTCAGGCAGTTCTGTTTCCTGTCCTGGGGCTGGAGTGGGAGAGAGGCCTCACCCCTCAGTGTTGCTCCTTCTCCACCAGCTGTGTGGGGATGGGCTGGTCTCAGAGTCAAAAGCACTCTTGGGAAGGAATGAAGCCTGAAGATTGAAAAGCGTTAGTGGCAGCTGAGCAGGGTTAGGAAGCTCATTATCTGTGTTTTCTCAGTCAGCCATTTTGTCGAAGTGGAATGTGCTAGACTCGGGGCTCTCAGAGCTTCCCTTCATCTAGCAGCTTCCTGAGCCCGTCACAGATCTTGCCAAGGTGCTGAGTGAAGTCAGGCCCATAGAGGGCTGTGAGCAGACCTGGGTCAGAGAAGTGATCAAACACGTGGCGGATGCGGCCATGTGACTTGGGCGTGAGGTGGTGTTCCACCAACTCCAGCAGCACATCCCGGCACTCGGTCAGCAGGCCAGCCAGAACAGCAGCCTCGAAGGTGAAGTCTACCTCGCCAAAGCTAAGTGCCGTCATGGCACCCTGCCGCAGCTTCTGGCGAAAGCGGGTAGCCAGGGCCAGCTCACTGGGGCCGAAGGAGCCATTGCGGTGCAGTACAGCCACCTTGACAGCCACTTTGATCAGGTCCTTGATCACGCGCTGGGCCTGGGGCCGGCTGTGCGTGTACTCCTTGGACACACGGTACAGCTCATCTAGCACCTCACTGCTTGTCTCATCTATGAAGAGATGAGCCACAGACCGACCCGCCATCTTACTCAGTAGCTTCTTCTCTGCTTGCAGTGCCAGACTCTTTGAGCTGAAGGACTCCATGGGTCCTGGAGAGTGGGGTATGTGGTCAGTCACTAGAAGAAAGGCCACAGGCTTCCTTAGAAAGAGAGAAATGACTTTTCCCCTTTCTGTTGCTTCTTTAGTTTCCATGTCATCATCATCTTTGTTTGTCATCCTCCCCGCCCCCTGGGGCCCCTCAGTCCTCTATGCCTTTCTCCTGCTTTTTCCCCTTAGTGCTGTAGCAAATCTTGACTCCAAAACAGCCCATGGGAGTGGCGATAGCTCCGGCTGGAGGAATGTGGGCACACGGGAGGCTAGCCTAGCACAAGTTACATCTCAAGGGGAAGTAGGCTGTTGCTGCTGCAGTGAAGACAGGGCTTACCTGACAGATAATTCTTTTTTTTGAGACGGAGTCTTGCTTTGTCACTCAGACTGGAGTGCAGGGGTGTGATCTCTGTTCACTGCAACCTCCACCTCCCAAGTTCAAGCTATTCTCCTGCCTCAGCCTCCCAAGTAGTTGGGATTACAGGCCCCCACCACCATGCCCGGCTAATTTTTGTATTTTTTAGTAGAGATGGGGTTTCACCATGTTAGCCAGGCTGGTCTTGATCTCCTGACCTCGTGATCCACCCACCTCGACCTCCCCAAGTGCTGGGAATATAGGTGTGAGCCACCACGCCCAGCCTGACAGAATTCTTACAGCTACCATTTTTGGACACTGACTCTGTGCCATATGTCTGTGTGGTATAGGTATTACCATCCTTGTTTTACAGCTGAGCAAATGATACTTACATTAAATAATTTACCCAAGATCAAACACAACTCATTTTTTGGCCCCCAAAGCCAGTGGCAGCTATTGCACTGTACTTCCTTTAAAGTAAGAAGCATAAGCATCCCAGGAATCCTAATAGGAGTAATAACTAACATTTACTGAGAACCTACTATGTGCCAAGTGCTTTATGTCAGTCATCTTAGTCTTCCCAATCCTGTATAAGGTTAAGGTAGGTATTCCCATTTTGCAGTGAGAAAACTGAAGCTAAGAGAAATTTAGCAATTTGGCCAAAGTCACTAGTAAATGATAAAGATGGGCTTCAAACCAAATAATCCAGAGAAACCTCCTTCCCCAGAATGCTCCCAGTGTGGTTAAAGCCAACTGAGGAAGCACAAGAAACCAGCACCTCAAGAAGGGCAGGCAGTCCTGAAGGTCTGAGCCTTCTGCTACACTGAACTCAGGACCTTCTTGGCGGCATATCAGCTCCATGTGTCCAGGGTTCTCTCCCCATGGTCTTCGCCTGTGGTTCTTCTGGTTGTTTTGCTTCTTACTTCCCCCTCCCCTGCTCTGCAGGATGTGGCTGTGACCGCAGTGAGGAGCAGCCTCGCCCTCTCCCCCAAGCCAAAATGGGAGTCTGAAGAGGCAGGGGAGGTGGGGACTGAGGGGGTTTCTTCCCCAGCTGAATCCTTCCAGTGGAAACCTGAACCTTGCTTTGCTCCCAGCTTGCCTTGGGGCTTTCTGGACCATGTTCCCCAGCCGGAAGAGGAGATTGCTCCATGTGAGCCTTCCTTCCTCCTTGGCCTTCCTGTTACCTAGCTCTCCATTGCTCCCATTGCCGTCTCACATTTGTTCCGCTGTCCTCTCCCTCTCTCCCTGTTTCAGTCTCCCTTTTTATCTTGTCTGGGTCCTCCCTATAATCCTCTCTGGCCTGGCCATACTCTCCCTCTGGCCCTTACCCGTCCATCTCCTTGTCTCCTAAGACTTCCTTGCATTTCACACACATCCATACGGATATGGATCCACCTGCATCCCTCAGCCCTGCCCCGACTGCATCCAAAACCAGGTCTTTCAGAGGCTGCCTTGCCACCAGAAAAACTAAGTTAAGCTCTACAAAGGACCCAAGAATTGTACAAGCAAGAGTTTCACAATATGAAAAGCTAAGACTGAAAGAGCTGGAGACTCCTCTGCCACCATTACCCCTAAAGTCTACCATTCTGTCACTGCCGGTCCCTCACCTGCTGTGCTGGGTGCCAGTCTTGCCTTGGATGTTCCGGGAAAGCTTACAGAATGGAGAAGCTTCACTTAGTGTGAGAGCCCTTTGGCTTGGCCCCACCCCTTGAGCCCCGCCTACCTACTCTCTGCTCAACCTCCGGTTCATCACTACTGTCTCCAAGAAGGCCTCTGGCCCAAGAGCAACCTAGAAATAAGACAAAGGTCAAAAAGAGTGGAATTCTGTTGGAAACAGTCTTGATTCTTTGAAGGGGGAAAAGGGATTTGCATACTCTACTCTCACATTGCTTCTTTCTTTTCTTGCTGCCCAGTTCCTGGAGATCCTGTCCTTATATTTCTGCAGTACTGGGAAGGATGTAAAGTCCAAATTTCTGGGGTAGGAAGCTAGTGGGAAAAGTTCTGCAGATTGAAAGGTGGTGCTGTGGGGCGAGTATTTAATATATTATTCCAGTGATTGCTAGGTAAGGGCACAGACTGTCACAACCCTTAATACTGAAGGGAGGAAGGTGCTGGGACCAGGGCTGCTGCACCACAGGTGACCAGCAGGTGCCAGCACAGCACTGAATCACTAGCCCAGAGGAATAAGCCTACTGAGTTGCTTTTTTTTTTTTTTTGAGACGGAGTTTTGCTCTTGTAGCCCAGGGTGGAGTGCAAAGGCGTGATCTCGGCTCACTGCAAGCTCTGCCTCCCAGGTTCAAGTGATTCTCCTGCCTCAACCTCCCAAGTAGCTGAGATTACAGGCATGTGCCACCATGCCCGGCTTGTTTTGTATTTTTAGTAGAGACAGGGTTTCACCATGTGGGCCAGAATGCTCTCAAACTCCTGACAGGTGATCCACCTTGGCCTCCCGGAGTGCTGAGATTACAGGTGTGAGCCACTGCACGCCGCAGGGTGAGCTTTGTAGCTGCTAAAGGGATACAAAATGAGGAGCAGTCACAATTGAGTTTTGTTTGTTTGTTTGTTGTTTTGTTTTTGAGATAGGGTCTCGTTCTGTTGCCCAGGCTGGAGTGCAGTGGCATCATCACAGCTGACTGCAGCCTTGACCTCCTGAGCTCAAGAGATCTTCCTACTTCAGCCTCCCTAGTAGCTGGGACCAGAGGTGCACACCACCAGGCCTTCCTTTTTTTTTTTTTTGTAGAGAGGAAGGTCTCACTCTGTTGCCCAGGCTGAACTTCTAGGCTCAAGCAATCCTCCCACTTGGCCTCCCAAAGTGTTGGGATTACAGGTGTGAGCCACTGCACCCATGCTGGAAGTCACAGTTGCTGAATGAGACAAAAACACTTGCCATCAAGAATCTTACAGGGAATCTGGCCAGGGAGATAACCTTAAGCGTAAATAACAGTAATACTAGTCAAACAATGCCATTAACTTTAATGGGGATTTAAATAATTTTGAAAGCTTAATTATGATAGGGCTTGGAAAGATAGATTCAACTACTTAATAGCCAGAGATAGGGAAGAAGTCCCAGATGATGGGGATGGCGTAAGCACATACAGGAAAAAAACATAATACAGGACATTCTCAGGAAGTGGTGATATATGTCTGGAATGTAGGTTGTTTGAGAGATAAGTGAAGAAGGAAAAAGATCAGATCACAGCAAGCTTTAAAAAAGTTGCTCCAGGCCGGGCGTGGTGGCTCAGCCTGTAATCCCAACACTTTGGGAAGCCAAGGCGGGTGGATCACCTGAGGTCAGGAGTTTGAGACCAGCCTGGTCAACGTGGTGAAACCCTGTCTCGGTGGCTCACGCCTGTAATCCCAACACTTTGAGAAGCCAAGGTGGGTGGATCACCTGAGGTCAGGAGATCAAGACCATCCTGGCTAACCTGGTGAAACCCTGTCTCTACTAAAAATACAAAAATTAGTTGGGCATGGTGGCGCGCCTGTAGTCCCAGCTACTCGGGAAGCTGAGGCAGGAGATTCGCTTGAACCAGGCAGGCAGAGGTTGTAGTGAGCCGAGATAGTGCCACTGCACTCCAGCCTGGTGATAGAGTGAGACTGTGTCTCCAAAAAAAAAAAAAAAAAGAAAAGAAAAGAAACGAAAAGAAAAAGAATAAAGGGAATAAAAATATAAGAAGATGCAAATACAATAATAACTTCTGGATTCAGAATTCTGCTACCTAGTCTTCACCTGTTTTTCTCTCCAGTTTCAAACTCCCCTTCCTTCATTCCTTCCTTCCTTCCTTCCTTCCTTCATTCCTCCCTCCCTCCCTCCCTCTCTCTCTCTTTCTCTCTGTCTTTTCTTTCTTTCTCAGAGTCTTGCTCTGTCCCTGTCGCCCAGGCTGGAGTGCAGTGACACGATTTGAGCTCACTGCAGCCTCTGCCTTTCACATTCAAGTGATTCTCCTGCTTCAGCCTCCCTGATAGCTGGGATTACACCGCCACCACACCTGGCTAATTTTTGAATTTTTAGTAGAGACAGGGTTTCGCCATGTTGACCAGGCTGGTCTCGAACTCCTGGCCTCAAGCTCTCTTGGCCTCCCAAAGTGCTGGGATTACAGGCATGAGCCATAGCACCCATCTGTAATTTGTGATTTTATTAACTGTCTACCCACCGAGCTTAGATTATGTTTTAGTGTCTGCATAGTGCTTGGCACATACTGTGCTCAATAAATATGTGCTGAAAGAATAAAGTCAAAACATATCCAAAACCAGGATATGAGGGGAAAATGGTAGCAACATAGGAGTCACATGTTATAATGTTCATTTACTTCATTCTTGGGGAGGTCTTTTATTTTCTCTCTCTCGCTCTTTTTTTTTTCAATTGAGACAGAGTCTTACTCTGTTGCCCAGGGTGGAGTGCAGTGGTATGATCTCAGCTCACTGCAACCTCTGCGTCCCAGGTTCAGCAGATTCTCTGCCTCAGCCTCCTGACTAGCTGGGATTTCAAGCACCCACTGCCATGCCTGGCTAATTTTTGTATTTTTAGTAGAGACGGGGTTTCTACCATCTTGGCCAGGCTGGTCTTGAACTCCTGACCTTGTGATCCACCCACTTCAGCCTCCCAAACTGCTGAGATTACAGGCGTGAGCCACCGCACCTGGCCAAAAACATTTTTTTTCTTTTTTTTGAGATGGAGTCTCGCTCTGTCACCCAGGCTGGAGTGCAGTGGCACAATCTCAGCTCACTGCAACCTCCACCTCCTGGATTCAAGCAATTCTTCTGACTCAGCCTCCTGAGTAGCTGGGATTACAGGCATGTGCCACCACGCCTGGCTAATTTTTTTGTATTTTTAGTAGAGACGGAGTTTCACCATATTGGCCAGGCTGGTCTTGAACTGTGATCCACCCACCTCGACCTTCCAAAGTGCTGGGATTACAGGCGTGAGCCACTGCACCTGGCCACAAATTTTTTTTAGAGACAGGGTCTTGCTATCTTGCCCAGGCTGGAGTACAGTGGCTCAGTCACTGCTCACTGCAGCCTCGAACTTGTGGACTCAAACAGACCTCCTGCCTCAATCTCCCAAAGTGCTGAGATTACAGGAGTAAGTCACTGTGCACCCTGGCCAAACAATGGTATCTTAAATGTGCAAAACACTTTTGAATTTGCAAAACATTTCACCTACAGTATCTTATTGGATCCTAAGAAGTAGGCAGGAAGGTAGTATGTCTACTTACAGAAGACAGAGTCAGACTTAGAGATAAGTAGTTTATCCAAAGCCATACTCCAGAGATGAATCTAGCTAAGTCTCACTGACTTTCAATGGTGCTCTTTCCACTGTATAATCTACAGGAAATGAATAGTACTTTTTTGAGCAATTTCTACTTTGAAGCAAAATGAAGATATTTTGCACTTAATTGGATAAACTTCAGTTATTTGGAAAAGTATTCAGGATGGAACAGTCCTATGTTTGTTTTAGTTGAGGTTTTACCATGGTTAAGATCAGTACTCTCATATCAGTTCAGAAAGAGTAAGTTTAGTGTGATTTAAAGCAGTCAAGTAAGTCAGCCTGACATAGCTGGAGATAGTTCACAGCTTTTACTCTTTTTTTTTTTTTTTTTTTTTTTTTGAGACGGAGTCTTGTTCTGTCGCCCAGGCTGGAGTGCAGTGGCCAGATCTCAGCTCACTGCAAGCTCCGCCTCCCGGGTTTACGCCATTCTCCTGCCTTAGCCTCCCAAGTAGCTGGGACTACAGGCGCCCACCACCTCGCCTGGCTAGTTTTTTGTATTTAGTAGAGA